TCGTCAGGTCGATTGGTAAAATGGGCCGTGGAATTGACCCAATATGGGATCGAGTATCAGCCGCGCCCATCCATTAAGGGGCAAGCCTTAGCCGACTTCTTGGTCGAATGCACTGCAGGGGAAGTCGATAAAGAGGGCACCATGGAAGATAATCCAGGCGAATGGTGGGAGATGCACGCGAACGGAGCAGCGAGTCGACAACACTGTGGAGGCGGAGTCATGCTAATTACCTCGGAAGGATTCCGGCTTTACTATGCCCTAAGCTACCTGTTTCCAACATCCAATAACGAAGCTGAGTACGAGGCTGTGTTGGGCGGTCTACGACTCGCCAAAACGCTAGGAGTGGAACGTCTGCGAATCAAAACCGACTCACGGCTAGTGGTTGGACAGGTTTTAGGCACCTGCGAAGCCAAGAACGCTCGGATGTCCCAGTATAAGGAGAAGGCGATAGAGATGCTAAGAGGATTCGGGATGTATGAAATCGAATACATTTCACGAGCGGACAACACTTAGGCTGACATATTGTCAAAAATTACCCTGGAAGGAGTACCAGATCACCTCGTCAAGATTTGTCAAAAAGAGGAGTTAAATCGACCAAGTATAGAGGAGACGATGCTAGAAATCCAACAGGTAGTCGTCGAAGAGTGGGATCGAGAGAAAAATCCCGAGATGTTCTGGATCGACGACGTCCGGCGATATAAGGAGACGGGGAAGTTGCCAGAGGACCCAGGAGTCGCCGCGAGGGTTCGACGAAAGGCCCCCTCGTTCGAAATCATTGACGGACAAATGTACAAGCGATCATTTGGGGACCCCCTCTTGAAATGCCTACTTAGGCCCGAGGCGGAGAAAATAATGGACGAAGCCCATCAAGGAATCTGTGCCGCCCACCAGGGCGCCCACACTCTTGCCCGGAAGCTGGTCGTCCAGGGATACTATTGGCCGACCATGATTTCGAACGGAAGGTCCATTCAATGTGAAGATCCGGCGATTAAGAGAAGGAACAGTTACTACTTTCTCACACCCGGGTTAGTGGACCGGGTATGAGAAAGTGAGGGACTAGTTGATGGGGTGAGGACCCCGGCCCAAAGAGATGGGCCCAAAAGTATAAGGAGTCCAAGATAGAAAGTATGGGTCAGTAAAAGAAGAAGCCCAGTGGTGGCCTGAACCGAGTCCAAGAGTCGGCCCAGGCCCAAGTGGGGAAGGAGACTCGGCCCAGGAGCCGATTAGAAGCATTCAAGTCGGTCCAAGAAACGCTTGGGGAGCACTCAATGCGGCATTCAAGAGGGCTCGACCAAACGGACCGTTAGGAGTCCAAAGAGCCGTTGGCCGACTCAGTAACGGCGCCCGAACGGTCTTATAGCGTAATTAGCCTTGATGACGATAGTTAATGTATTTCAATTCGGCTGGAGAGGAGCCTACTATATAAAGGCCCCTCCACCCTTGTAATCCATGCGAGTCCATGCCCAGTGAGAAAAGACACACATTTCCGACTATTCTTTAGTTACCCCTTCATTTCTTCAGAGCTTTTGTGAAAGGTGAATCCACCGACCAAGGTTGTGTTGGACCTCCCTGGGCCCAAAAACCCAAAAACCAACACTAGTCTCCTTGTTAATTTATTCCTAAAAATCCTGAAAATTCAATAGTCGAACGACGAGAATTTGACTAGTCATTCAAGGTCAAAGGGTTGTACCTTATGCTTCTTGGGTCGTGCCCTTGTTTCCTTATTCTTCCAACTTTAGTAAGCGTAGAGATGTCTTTCTACCTAAGGTTTGTGGTTCAAGCTAACCTAGCAACATCCCTTCATTTCATTCACCTACAATCTAAACGCAAAATCTCTAGCTTCTCTCTAGAAAAGTGTGGCTTCTTCTCCAAGCTAGAATTTGGGTATCCCAAATCTTGCAAGTTGTCTCCCAAGATTCCTACTTTCTTTACCTTGAGCATAGGGGAGGGTAAGATCCTTGATCTTTTGGTGTTTTTGACCTCCTTTTAGATGTCTTTTTCTAAAAATAGAATCTTTGTTGTCTTTTGGTTTGTGTATGAAGTTGGTGTGGAAGAAGAGCTTTAGGAAAGGCTTTCTAAGGGTGAGAAAGAGAAGTGTTAGGCTACAAAGGTAACCCATGCTTTACAGAACCTATTTTCTTACTTATATGATGATTCTTGGCTTCTACTTGTGATTCTTGTGTTGAAATGTGAGATTTGATGCATTGTCTTGTGGTAATGCATGTTTAGAGCTTGTTCTTAGGGTTCTTGAATGCCATTGTTTGGCTATTTCTTGGGTTCAAGTCATATTGTTGTTTTGTGTGAGATTATGGGTGTTTTGGACTTGAATTTGGACTTGTTGTTGAAAATACCTGAAGGGATTATTTTGGTGTACAGGGTGGACCCGCGGGCGGAACGGCGAGCAGAGGCCTACCCGCCGCCCCACCCGCGGGGAACGAAATGCCCGTGGGATCGGTACCCGCGGGCGGAACCGCGGGTGGTTGTCCACCCGTGGCCCCACCCGCGGGGAACACTTGTGATGTCGGGCGGGGATTTGTTCCCCGTGATTCTTTTGACTCGGTATTGATGTTTTGACCTCCCGATGTTGTTTTCTTGGGCCATTTGTGAGTCTTCTTGATGTTTCATATGTCTAGAACGGTATGTTAGGAATCCATGTAGGATTTGGTGTCTTGAATCGTGCTAAGGGTCCGACTTTGTGATTCGTTGGACTATTGTGAGTCTTGTATGTTCTATGCAACTACTTTTGGTTTGCCCGTTTGATAAGCATGCTAGTTTGATGTTGAAATACTAGTGTGTACGGTTTGTTCTTTCTTATTGGGATTGACAACTTGTGTTGACCATCATTTGGTGTCGGATTGTGATCCTTTGTTGTTGAGTATGGTTTCATATCTTTGTTGTGATCCATTGATTGATTCCTATGATATGAACGTATGTAATCGTTGTACCCTTTGATTGATACTTGATTAAGGTTATTGTGGAACCTTAGTCTTCTTGGTAATGATGATGACCTTGTGTGACTATGATTGAATGTGGGTGGTTGTTACTTGAGCTCTGCTCACATGTAGGTGGTTGTGTGAAATGAATAGTACCCTCGTGTACTGAAATGTAGGTGGTATGTTGGAAGCTATGTTGGAGGGGGGACGACGGTCCCTGGCGGTATAAGGTTGGACTCAGAAGTACAAGGTGACACTAGGAGGTAATGGTTGGAACTGAAATAAGGCCGGGGGTAGCCATAAGTTTGGAACAGGGCATAAGGTTGGAACTATGAAACTTGTGACATGTAGTTGTCACTGTGGCATGTAGTTGCCTTTGTGTGAATGTGTATTCTTTGCTAATGAGCATGTCTTGATGTATTCTACTTTGTGATCAGTAGAATGCATCTTGAGTTGTATTGTCTTTCATGATTCTTGTCTTGTTAATGTCGTACGGATGTTGATTCCTTTCCCTTTTTGAGAGTGTGAATGAGTCCTTGAAGTTGACTTTCTCTATGGCTTTTGAAATGATATATACTGTATTCCGTTTCGAAAATGGTTTTGACTATACTTATCTATATATGCTATTTAATGTGTATTGATGGGTTACCAACAATGTTCGCTGACCGGATGTCATCCCCATGTTATGTTTTCCTTGTTCTACAGGTTTTAAGTAGATGCCCGAGAGCGCTAGACTTGGAGCGATAGTTAGCTTAGTCACCTTGTCTAGACATTGTGTTTTGATGGCCTGTGAGCCTTTTGTGCGGCATGTGTGCCTTGACTCTTTATAATTTGTTGAATGGTTTAGTTTTCCCGCCTGTGCATCTTTAGTATTTAAGATGTGGCATAATGCCCCCGTATAGACTTGCTTCCGCTTAATGATTATGGATGGTTAGATTGTTTGTCTCTTGCATTTAAGTTTTAAAAAATGTGGTAAAAATCAGGGGTGTTACAGAAAGTGTCCAAAATATGATAGTATGGGTTTTTAAATGGCAAAATATGATAGTTGGCCGCCTTCTCTGGTCACCGAAGAAGGCAACAAAACCGGTTGCCTTCTCCGGCGAAGGAGAAGGCACCCAAACGACACTAGCGACCGTTTCGCAGGCGTTTTTGCCGGAATATGGTCGGAATCTCGCCGGAGGTTCACCGAAACCCTAGTAACCTGTAATCATAGGTCACAAACCGGTTTTTGGACCTCAATGCTCTAAAATAATAAGTTTAAGTGGATAATTACAACCTTTAAAAATTTAAGGGCCTAATTGACTTCTTAAGTAATGTTCGGGAGCCTATTTGACATTTTTTCCTTAAAAAAATGAGTGTTTTTTCAACTAATGACAATGAACATAAATTAAATTTTTTTTCCTCAAGTGAGTAAATTTCAATTTTGGTCATGTAACTATAGGGGTCCTATTATATGCAGTCTACGACTTTCGAAAGTGTTAATTTAATACCTTGACTATGCAATTTTTATCATTTTTTGTCACTCCAGTCAAATTGCCAGCCAAATTTCGCTTATAAAAAACTTAATTCATCAATTAGTGTTTAATCTGAGGGGCAAATTCTTCTTTTGAATTGTGGTTCGAATTAAAGAAAGTCAGTTTTTAACCCGATTGATAAAAATTGCATAGTCAAGGTACTAAATTAACACTTTTGAAAGTCATGAACTGCAATTAACAGGACCACAATAGTCACATGACCAAAATTAAAATTTATTCTCCTCAAGTCATTGTAGAAAAAAAAATAATAATCCATTCAATAAAAGTAAGTATCATGAAATATTAAATTTTTCATTTAAATTGCAAACACCCTCTCAATTAACTCCATTGAACATGATCTTTTTAGTGTGATTTATTTTTGGAATAATGGTCAAATTGGCCACTCAACGTAACGCGAAAGTGCAATCAGGCCACCGAACTTAAAAAAAAGTGTAATTACACCATTCAACAAACTAAATGTGTGCAATTTCACCAAGCAGCAGGTTTTCTCCCATCCCATCCGGTTACCTATCTACGTGGAGGCTGATTTGACTTTTTTTTTTTTCCTATTTTCTTTTCTTCATTTCCTCTTTGTTCTTGAAGCGTGTCTTCTCCATCTGCGCCACCGGTTTCAACCCCCTGAACTTGATCCAGAGGCAGCCCAGCATCAAAACTAGACGATCTGAAAAAACAAATAAAAATAAGTCGGTAGAAGCAACAACGGAGAAAAAGAATTCATCAAAAATAGAAAATCCTATAAAGTATTATACGACAAAATTGGTGGAAAAAAAAACTAAAAAAATTAAAAACAATCTTACATGCAGCAACAATGATCAATTTGTTTGTGTGTTTGATGTTTTGGCCCTAATCTCTAGCTAGTGAGCGTAGACGTACTCCACCAATTCCACAACCTCAACCGATGTCGATTCCATCGTTGGCGGACTAAAAGGCCATCCTTTGAAGTAAGCAATTAGCTCGAAGACTAGCAGAAGCACAGAGACAGTAAAAGAACACCTAAATTATCTGATACAACTGGGAGTCCGCTCTTGGCGCGGCGGAATTGGAGGCCGCAATACGGCGATTGTCAGTGCGGACGATAGAGATGAAGCTATTGGTGAGCTGTGTGTCCGTCCTTGTTCTTAGTGAAGTAAGCGTAAACGAAGGGAAGGGTTTGGTGATTTTAGATTGAAGCGATTTGGGGATTTTTAACACTGTTGATTTGTTTCTTACACGCTGGAAGAACGGAAAACAAAGAAAAAGAATAAATAATGCCACGTAATAATCCAGATAAGCAATCAACCGGAAGAAAAGGTTGGATACTGGCTACTAGGTGAAATCGCACACATTTAGCTTGTTCAATGGTATAATTGCACTTTTTTTAGGTTCGGGGGCCTGATTGCACTTTTGTGTTACGTTGAGTGGCCAATTTGACCCTTATTCCTTTATTTTTTATGTGTGACTTATGAACTATTACACAGGAATGAGGTTATTTATGCATTCTCATTGTGTATATATATATATATATATATATATATATATATATATATATATATATATAATCAATTCACATGACATAAAATTAAATCATTAATTAAATAAAACCCACTTTCTTTGTTTGTGATGGATAGGATCAAATCTTTCATTTGACCAATACATTTTGTGAAGTTGTGACATGATACGGATGCTTCCTAAACATTGGACAAGCCCCTCCTACCACTACATATATACTATGAGTCATTCTGATTCACTCGTAACTCGAGAGTTACAAAATCATATAATATTTAAATTTGTATAACTACTCGAAGTCTTGAACCATACAATTCAAATTAGTTTTATTAAATTTTTTGAAGGATAATATTTATTTTGTATAACAGAAGAAGAAAATGAGATAAAACTAGAATCTCATCCATACATGTCACCTCTATTTGAAGAAATTAGAGATCTTAATCGAGCTAGTCCGCTCGATTTTGGACTAATTCGGTTAGGCTATGATTTTTAACGATTCAGACATATTGATTTTGGTCATGGTTCATGTGGATTAATTAGCTAGAATGTTACTTTGGTATTGCAGTAATAAAACTTAAAAATTATGGTGTGTATAAAATGAAACTAAATAACAAGTCTCGCATATTAATTGTATATTGTCAAATGAAACTGTAGTTGAATAATAATGATATTTAAGTGGGGTATTGTAGTGAAACTATATATTGTTTACAAAATGCATCTGAATAGAAAATCTCACATACTGAGTGTATATTGTCAAATTAAACTCTACGTAGTTCAATTATAATAATATTGTAGTGGTGTTGTAATGACGCTATCATGTGTATAAATTATAAAATGATACTGAGTAGTGAGAGGGGTTGCTACATTGACAAAACGAGATTTGCCGTCTACCATTATTAATTAATGGGTTAAAAAAAAAAAAAAAAAAAAAAAAACTTAAAGCAACACCATTTTGACCATGTTCTACACTAAAATTTGCCTCCTATTGCAAAGGTGGTGTATCATTGACATACATATTTATTATTTTTAGTATAATGAAAATTCATTTTTAGTTTAGTACATGTTTATATTTTTTAAAGTTATTCATTTTTAATATACTACAAGTTCATTCTTAGTATACTATCTAATTAACCTTCTGTATATTAAACATGAACATTCAATATATTAAATATGAATATCTATCAGTGATTCACCTTGTAATATTGACCATGATGATCCATTTTATAATTTCCCCTGCCGCCAAAGTCATGCGCATTCCTAGCGAGGGTTATTAAAAACATACAAACTAAGCCCGAAAGTATGTATGATATATATATATATATATATATATATATATATATATATATATATATATATATATATATATTTCTTTTTCGTGATCCTAAACATATTATTATAAAAACTAGTGCATGTGAGAATGTCTCATATATAGAAAATTTTAACATCCTCCCACTTGTTGGAAGTACTACCATAATCTTTATTAAAGAACATAATAAACGAATAATAGCAATATGCCATCTACTCATCAAGAGTTATATCTTCTATACATCACATCATTTTTAATTCCCTAACTTAGGTCTTTTATAAACAAACTTAACATTTATTCTTGACACTTGGATGTTTCTCTAGATAAATTATGTGCACAACAAAAGAAGAAATCATCCAAAATGTACAAAAATATATAAAACACATATTAGTAATAATATAATACGGAGTATTATTTTATGAGTTAAGAATTGTTATATACTTATATTTTCACTGAAAAGCTAGTACTCCGTATATATTACTGGGATATTGGGATTGTGGAGGTTAAGGTTAACTAGCTCTAGTTCATGAGGATGGGCGAAATGTCTAAGCTTTGGGTAATCTGGGGCGTTGAAACTCATCAGAGCTTTGGGGATTGTGATTCTGTTGCCTTCTAGTTTTTATTCTCACCCATTATGACCTGTTTGGTTGGGCGTAATTTGGTTGTAGTTGAATTGCAATTCAGTAGAAGCCACAATTACGCTGTTTGGTTTGAGGGAATTGCAATTCCACAGAATTGCAATTCCCTCCTTTTGCTGAATAGCAATTCATGGGCACCCCCCTATGAATTGTAATTAGGTGGTTGTGGGAAAAGAAAAAAGTGATGAAATGACAAAAATACCCTTAATTATTACTACTATTATTATTACACAAGGACATTTTAGTCTTTATATCACTTCTTTCATTCCCTACCCAATAATTCTATTCATCCCTACCAAACAATGTAATTTGAATTCCTACTTTATTCCCACCTTATTATTTTCCCACCGAATTGCAATTCCTTTCCACCCTAATTCCTTACTCCCAATCAAACGCCCCGTTAGTGTTGAGTTATATATATATATATATATATATATATATATATATATATATATATATATATATATATATATATATATATATATATAATTTTTGAAATTAAATAAGATTTTCGCAACACCCTTTTCAAAGAGATGAAAAGGGTGTCTCAAAAAATCATCATTAAAAAAATAATAATAATAAAATTCCACGTTAACTTCTTGGTAGAGGGTGTCACGGAAAGTAGTTATTAAAAAAAGAAATTATATGCTTTCCAAAAAAAAATGTGCAAACATTCTTGTATTAAACATTAAATATGCGACTTCATTTGCAATACATTTTAGTAATAATATAATACTATTTTATGTGTTAACAATTGTGAAAAGTATATATTACTGTTCCATGAATATTTGTGGAATTTTTTTTTTTTTTTAGTGAAATTGTAATATTTGTTGACTTATGAAAAAATATTACATTTTTGTTAAAAAAATATTGCATTTTTGTTAAAAAATATTAATATTTTATATTAGTCTAAAGTAAGACACTCTTATGCAAGATTAAATCTATGAGTGCAACCATTCTTGTATTAAAGATTAAATGTATAAACAATATTGTATATATTTATGATAAAAGATTATTTTTGGGAGAAGAAAGATAGACTGAACATGAGAAATAGATTTTTTTTTTTTTTTGGGGCGTGGTTAAATTAAAAAGTAATAAATAATAATAGTAATATTCTAAAACGGTTCAACGCTTAAATGGCGAGCGCTCTTGGACGACCTTCGGTTGCCGGAACGCCTTCACGGGGCTCCGGAAATGCCATCCTTTCGCCTTCGTAAAATCTCCGACGCCGCAACCTGACGTCACCTCCACGCTCACCGATCTCGACCTCATAAGCACCGCGAAATCCACAATTCCCCTGTCGCCGGCGCCGCTACACCGAGCGGAGACGAATTTCACTTCGGATTGCTTCTCTTCCTTCACCTCCGATTTCCTCGCGCTCTTGCTCGAGTACTTGAATAAGGATCGGAACCACGCCGCCTTGCTCTGGCAGTTCGGCGGCGGATTCCGCCGGAAGGAGCCGGAGAGGCCGTCGCGTGGTCGGAGAATGGTGACCCCGACCGATTTCGATCGCCGGAAGTCCGGCTCGCAGCCGATTTCGCCGCCGCCGAAGGACGAGGAAGCGGAGGAGGAGGAGGAGGTGGTGGCGGCGAGATATGCGCAGGGGCGGACGGCGGCGCAATCGCGGCTGAGAATGGCAAGACGTTCCTTCAAGCAAACGGGGCACACTCCGTTTCTCTCTCTATTTGAAGGGTGTTTTAGACATTTCCAAGCTTCTTCTTCTACTATTATAGGCGCCGCCATTAGAGTAAGCGTTTCTCTCTCTCTCTCCTTTTGCCTTGGGAATGAAATCATGGATTCCGAAAGGCTGTTTAAAAAGGGAAGAAAAAGAAGTGCAAGTTAACCCTGGTTAGCTTTACTGGGTATAAACTAACCATGGTTATTACACTATGTTCTGTGTTACCAAAACGGTGTGTTTGTGCTTTTGGAATTACTAGTATAATTTCCATATAGACGAAGGATCTATGAACTGTGAGATTTGAAAATATTCTCAATGCGGAGGAAACTTAACTTACTGATTCAATAGACAATATTTAAAGAAAAAAGATGAAAAGATTTTCAAATGATTTTTTTTTTGGAATAAGTCTATTACAAATCTTTATATTTTTTTTTCAATACGAAAAATAGAACACAAGAAGAACAATAAAGCCTAAATCCCTCCGGTAGGAGTCTACATCTGGAGGCCAATAATCATGGAAAGAGATTGATATGACTGATTATCGATAAGAAATTCATTTTAACTTGTCAACCAATTATAATTAGAAAATACTCAAATAAAAATGAAATAATGGAAAATTGATTTTTTTTTTAGTCCCATAACTATAGGTATGGGTGGGTGTTTCGGGCTTCCGTTTCGATTTTGATTTTGATTTTTCGATTTTAGAAAAATCAAATCATTTGGTTTAATATTAAAGTTCGGTTCGGTTTCAAACGGTTCGGATTTAATTAGACTCGATGTTTGGTTCGGTTTCGGTGGAAGTTCATTGTTGAATGTTTCCTTTTTCGCCCGATCGATTCTTCAGGTCACTCACTTGGAATGTCACTTGAAATGTTTTGCTGATGACAATACATCCATCTGTATAGTTAATATTTGAAAAACAAAAATTACTAAAAGAATAACTTTCAAATATTCATAAAAAATTTCAACACATGACCATTTAAAGAAACTTGAATGAAATCCTAGAAACCAAAATTTCAATTCCAGTTCGAACAACCCTCATTCTAGTTTTTGGAATTTAATTACAATTTGTCATGGTTGCAATAGGCGCTAGGCGCTAGGCGGGCGATAGAGTAGCGCCTAGCGCCTAGACGGCCTAGGCGAGGCCTAAGCGGCCTAGGCGGTCGCCTAGGCGGCTAACTGAAAAAATGAAAAACAGTGCACGTGTGTAGGTGCATATGTGTCATATTATACATACATACATACATACATACATACATACATACATACATACATATATATATATATATATATATATATATATATATATATATATATATATATATATATGTCATATAAATGAAAAAAAATTAGCAAGGTCGAGTCGGCCGGGTTAACTCGGCTAACTCGACAGAAATTGACGAGTTAACTCGGCGTAATTGGCCGAGTTAGGCGCTAGGCGGCTGAATTAGGCGCTAGGCGGGAGCCTAGGGGGGAAATCGCCACGGCCTAAGGGCGCCTAGCGCCTAGGCGCCGATTATTCGGTGCCTAGGTGGGATTTTTGCAACCCTGCAATTTGTTCACTGGAATGAAATCCGAAAAACTGGAATTTAGTTTAATAAGTGCTACATGTAAATATTGATACAAATGGGACTATAGCTTAATAGGTAAGGCTCTTGCTTTTCAAGCTTGATGGTTAGGGGTTTGAACCTCTCTTTGGACATCCACTTTATTTTTTTTAGGTTCATAACAATTATACCGAACGAATTCCTCTAAAATCAATATCGATCAGTACTTTGATTTTAAATCAAACCGAATTGATCTGATTTGGTTCGGATAAATCGAACCGTTTTGCACAGCCCTAGAGAATGGCTCCTTTAATCCTCCAATTATAGAGTCTTCACATTTAGCCCCTCGATTATTATATAGGTGGCATCTATAGCTCTTAAATAACAAAATTTGGCTGCTTTTGAAAATATTAAATTTATATAGTTATTTATGTAATTTCGTAGCATTCTAACTAATTCAATTATACATGTTGATACTTAACTGATTATACCATCGAAGAACTATATTTACTACTAGAACTAATAATTAATGAGGTAATTGAACGAACTTGGTTGGTTCGAGTGGACCTCGTGATTTCAAACCCCTCTAGTATAGATAATTAATGAGGTAAATGTGAAGACCCCATATTTGGGGATTGGCTGATTGAGTAAGCTATTTTTATTCTTTTCTTCAAGTTAATTGACATATTGAAGCACAAAGAATCAATACTCTACTGAGGTTTGAATTTGTGATCGTCCATTTAAGAGAGTCACGGTTATGACGCTCGATCACAAGATCTTTGAAAAGAAATGAGCCTTTGATTACATATAATTGGACAATTACAAGTATTCCAATAACTAGAGAGTTAGTTGCTAAAGATGCAATAGTGCCAACCATCTCTCTTGATTTGGTTGATTTGGCTCAGATGTTGCTTAGATGCCAATGTTGTTCTTTTTTTTTTTTTTTTTCAATTCGATGAAGCGAAATTAAATTTTGTTAATTGGTCGAGGGTTAAATAACCAATTCAAATGTTTAAAAGTTTTACTTATAAGTACTTTTGATCCAAAATTTTAATTTTTTCCAAATCAATAAATGTTGTTTCCCTAATTTAAAAATAATCAAAAATACATTTCTTAAAGGGGAAACAACGTTTTTGGCCCCTCAATTGTTTTAGTTTTGGAAATTTAGTCCCTCTTAATTGATTTGAGCAAACTTAACCCTTTAATTGTTCAAAATGTAGCACATTTGGTCCCTCATGTTATATAATTAGAATTATTTTTAATAATTTATATAATTTATTCATTCAAAATTAAAAATATTTTTATAATAAATAAATACATAAATTTAAAAATTTAAAAATATAAAAAAAAATTAAAAAAAAAAAAAAAGAAGAAGAAGAAGAAGAACAGCCACCGGCGCTCCGGTGGCTGTTCTTCTTCTTCTTCTTTTTTTTTTTTTGTTTTTTTTTTTGAATTTTTGAATTGCTGTTCAAAGTTGGCAAGGAACAGAGCAGCTACATGATGAGGGTGGACGATTGCAGCAGTATACAAATAACAAAATAATGATTCCATAAAATGGGAAAAAATGCAGTTTTAAATAAACATATTAACAAAGTCATTTATGTAGGCGTTTACCCCTAATATTCCAAAAACAGCGAGAAACAAAAGGCTTGAAATATATTCCAACCACCATGGCACCTCCTTTTCAAAATCCTGCACGCAAAAAAAAAAAAAAAAAAAAAAAAAAAAAAAAAAAAAAAAACAAAGAAGAAGAACAGCCACCGGCGAGGACAGCCGATGGCTGTTCTTCTTCTTCTTTTTTTTTTTTTTTTTTTTTTGAATTTATGTATTTATTTATTATAAAAATATTTTTAATTTCGAATGAATAAATTATATAAATTATTAAAAATAATTCTAATTATATAACATGAGGGACCAAATGTGCTACATTATGAACAATTAAAAGGTTAAGTTTGCTCAAATCAATCGAGAGGGGCTAAATTTCCAAAACTAAAACAAATGAGGGGCCAAAAGCGCCGTTTCCCCTTTCTTAATTAAAAAGAAACTATTAAACCATTAATATTTGTATATATTATTTAAATAAAAATATATTTGCTAATACAACACATTTATGGTTTTGTATTTGTACATTTCTTTTGTAGTTCATATAATGTGTTTTATCCTTTTTCATTTCTGTGCTGCCTAAGGTGAAGGTTAATGTCATTCTCACTCAATCTAGTTGACAACCTAGTTCCAAGTATGAATTTTCTATTTTTTTTGAAAAGCAAAATATAAAAAAGATTGATCTCAAAATTTTTTATAAAAAAGTTTACGCTTATGTCATTGAAGTACTCTAACATCTTGGGGTGATGGTAATTGTCATCCTTAATTGTCACTCTCATTATCAAGGTGGTCCTTCAAGTAATAGAGTTCAAAAGTACCCAAGTGTTTTTAGGGAGCGTTTGGTTCACGGAATCTTAGATTACCCCAGGTAATAGGATTACTTGGGGTAAGTAATGTGAGATTTTGAGAATGTAAGATTACCTGATGTGTTTGGTTAAAGTTGTAGGAATGTAGCATTAACTTGTTTGGTTGAAGGTTATATTTTAGGTTATATTACATCAATTACTTAAATGCCCTCATAGAAATTGAAAGGTGTAAATTGTAAGTCTTTTTTTTTTCTTCTATAATTCAAAATTTAACATAATAATAATAATAATAATAATAATAATAATAATAATAATAATAATGGAATGCGTACTGTAAAGATGCAATTCAATAATAATAATAATAATAATAATAATAATAAATGCATACGCGGTAAAGATGCTTCACAGACCATCCAACACCAACAAAATTTAAATGAGGGCAAGCCGCAAGGTCTCTATAATGAATAAAAGAAGAGAAATAAATGAGGACAATTTTAGAATATTGAAAAGTAATCTCACATTACCTAACAAAAACTTGGTAATCAGATTACCTCAAATATACTCTCATTTCTTACGTGGCAGTAATCTTGCATTACTTACCCTTTCGGATTACCTAAACCAAACATGATCATCTAAGATTACCTTTCTTAGATTACCCTGTTAATCTGAGATCCCTTGAACCAAACGCCCCCTTAGAGTATTTTGAAAAAAAAAATTCTTTTTTTTTTTTCTTTTGATTTCTCTATCTTTTAAGCATGCATTGTTGTAAAATTCAGCCTAGGCGGTCACTTAGGCACCGACTAGGTGTTAGGCACCCATAGGCCGATGCAATTTAGACCCTAGGCGGTTTTTAGCCGGCCGACCAAGGCGCCGAGTTGGGCGCTTAACTTGGTCGAGTCGGGCGCCTAACTCGACCGAGTCGGTGCCCAACTCAGCCGAGTTGACACTCAACTCGGGCGAGTGATTTTTTTACCTGCTCGGCTACTCCTCTTTTGTATTTCTTCAACCATGTATTCAACTAACTATCTAACATATGCATTTGACTAGTTTGGAAAATTATAACAGTCTGACAACTTCTTGCCCTGAGTGGAAAAAGGTGAGGCAATATAC